CACACACACACACACACACACACACACACACACACACACACACACACACACACACACACACACACACAACCCCAGTCTTGTGGCTGAATGGCAAACAGTACTACACACAGTACACATGTAGGTGGTTGATTAATTAACAGATCATAACTACCCAGCATAAGTTATCAATTTCAAATGCTGATAAATGCAACAATTCAGGGGCTTATTTCCAAGTAAACAGAATAATAAATATTAATAATACGAATAAAAAATAATAACAATTTAATAAGCAAAATAGAACATGTTACAGCGAAGCACAAGGCCTCGATAAGCACTACTGGGCCCCTATTTGCAACAGCGTCGGCCGCCCTAAGTGAAGGCAGGTTCGACAGACCCCAAGAGGCCTATTTTGGACTTCTACGCAACTGGGGAAATTCAGGTAGTTGCGCAACGGCAGTCGGTTGGAACTTGGAAGCACCCCGGGCCCAGGCTGCCTTTCATTGCATGTAACTGAGGCCTCTTGGGGTCTGTCCTCTTGGGCCTCAGCCAGGATACACAAAATGAACCGAACAAAGGTTGAGGGCAGTTGGGTGCTGGTAACCGCCTCAGGCTCTGGAACTGTTTCCTTCGGTCTGAGGCTCAGCCTCCCTGGGCCTACCGGAAGCTTCTGGGGCGGGGCCCAGCACCGCAGCACAAGACGCAGTAGCAGGCCACTTCGATATAGGGAAGGGCCTGCCCACGCATTGGGCAATCGGGTACTGGCTGCTTTGTGCGCAAGCGCTGCTGCGCTATCGCCTGCCAGGCTCACGTGCTCACGGGCGAGTTGGAAGGACCAGGAAGCCATAGCCGAGCTGGGCTGCTGTATGCTGGATGGGGCGCATGGTGGTCCTTGGGTGCAAGTGGCATCTGTGAGTTGGGGAACGAGGTTGTGAGTGATACGAGAGACATACCTGGTGCTTGAAGTGTGCGGCATTGGCCGAGATCTGCTCGTACTTCGGGGAGTTGTTGACGTCATCAGCGGCATTGTAGAGTAGGCTAGATAGGATCTGTCATCTGTAGTCTGGGCGCCGAGCGCCAGATAGGATATCAACATTGGTTCTTCGTTGATGATGATGATGAGACTATTCCAGCATTGTCAATTATGAGTTTTTGGTGTGCTCTTATTTGGTGAAACTCGTGATGCAATTCTGCTTTTGGTTCGAGGTCACGACTATCTGGTCTATGTGCATGATGTTGTTTGATTGCTGAAGTTCCTTGTATTACACATTGTCAAGTATACGCCAAACCAACACCCACACGGTCACACCCATGAATGCTGAGTCCGGAGTGCACGTCTAAGTACCTCTTCATTATCGTAGACAAAGTCTGTCTTCTGCGTGCTGGTCATCGTTGAAACGTCATCCACGTATCCGGGGTTGACTCTCTTCCACATATTCTGCATGTTGCAAAAAAGCAGACGGGGAAAAAAAAAAAAAAGGAAGGGGGCAAGTACGTTGGAGTTCCGCACAACGTCGTTCAGAATAGGCAAACTTAAATGATCAGTTCCCGAAATGGAGCAAAAAAGGTGAACCTAAATCTGCCAAGCGCCACTGCGGGTAAGGACCGGTGCAGTTTTATACTCGTGCTAAACTTGCACACTTTTCGAAACTCACATCCTGACATCGGCGTCACTTTTGTCTTTTCTTGCCTATTTCAAACTAAAAGTGTGTCACAGCCACAGTTTCCCTAAAAAAGAAGGGTGACAGGAAAGCCAGCAGATGTACACTGTCCAAAAACAAGCAGAACATCCGAAAAAATAGCAAGAAGCACCACAACAGCAGCAATGACAACACAAAAAAACGAAGAATGCCCCCCCCCCAAAAAAAAAAAAAAAAAAAAAAAAAAAAAAAAAAAAAGATGATTATCACCAGCCACGGCCTCTAATTCAGTGTGTCTGGGTTATCATGTTCATTATACACAACTCCACAAAAAAGAAGTGAAAAAAAACATGACTGTGCCAGACTGTTTCATCGGGCTTTCACCAACTGTGTGTGTGTATGTGTATCTGTGTTTGTGTGTGTGTGTGTGTGTGTGTGTGTGTGTAAAAGAGATAATGAAAGACCAAAGGTGACCACAAAATGACTTGTCACTGTAAAACTATAAGGAATCATGCCAATAAGATTACAAAACAATAAAAAAGTAAAAGTAACAAAGATGAAAGGAAAAAATCGTTGTTTAACTGCTGGTACACCACTTATTTGTTCATTGACTAAGTTATGGTTGAACCTAAATATATTATTGCAATGGGGGCATGTACAATTACAGGAGGTATGTTTAGTACTGATTCTTACAGTACTATACGAGGTGTTGATAAGCTAATCTCAGTCAATGTTTATTTGTCTGGATGTCCTCCAAAACCAGAAGCTATAATAGATGGAGTAATTAAGTTACGTAAACAAATAGCTCAAGAAAATACTAAGCAAAAGCATTTTTCGTGTAGATGAAATAACTCCCATCTGTTCAGTAGTCAAAATATTTCCGGCAGCTGGTTGGTGGGAACGAGAAGTATGGGGTATGTTTGGTGTGTATTTTTCCAACCATCCTGATTTACGTCGTATATTAACAGATTATGGTTTTGAGGGTCATCCGTTACGAAAAGACTTTCCCTTAAGCGGATATGTGGAAGTACGATACGATGATTCAGAGAAACGTATGATTTATGAGCCAATAGATCCAATACGTTTGACAAAATCTCCTTCTTTAATGGCAGTATCACTACCAAAAACCACAATTCCTACACTCTCATTTTCTAGATTCAGTGCCATTCCTTTAACACCACTGGAAAATTCGACCATTTCTCCAGCTTGAATCTTGTTCAATCCATAAACACGTGCAATTCCATCTCCTACCGAAACCACTCGACCGATTTCATCCACTTGTAATTTGGTGTAATAATTTGTAATTCTTTGTTCTAATAAAGTAGATAGTTCCGCTCCATCAAATTTGTTCATAAATTTCATGCTCTCTTCTCGCCCGGGATTTCATTGAATCACTAAGTCTATTTATGAAGTTTTCACTTATGAATTTTATTCAAAACAATGTTTTTTATTCTTTTTTGAATAATACAAATCCTAACTCAATCCTATACTCTAGGATTTGTATTATTCAAGATCCCAAGCGAAACGCTTGAGCTTCCAGTCGCCTGAAAGTTCAGACTGTATCATCATCCCATCTTATATATATGGGATGTCTGTCGTGCAGTCGTTGAGGCTTTACGGTCTTAGACTTCCTTCCCTGCTGATTGTTCGCACCCACGCATTCATTATTGGATACTCGGCGGAGGTTTCAGCATATAGCCAGATTTGCCTTTAACATTATTGTGTAAGCGCCCCAGATAAGGCATCCGCCCGTAGAATGAAATTTGCGTTGTGCAGATGCATAGACCCCTTCCCGATTACTGATGAGATTGTAAGTGCTTTCCTATTACTAGGTCCCTTTCGGGTTAGGCAAGTACTATGGGTCCTCTGACTTCCAATAGGTACATCGAAAAAAACGCTATTTGAAAATAGTCTCAATGGCACCTTATGTAATTTAAATTAAATAAAAAAGGCAGATTTTCAAACATGCAAAATAGACTCCGTTTTCATTGTGAAAATGTGTTATGTCAAGATTTGTTATTAAAACTTCATTATACAACAGCCTGGCGGCTGCCTCGATTATGTAAAATCATAGTAGTTCCTTTCGGTTTCGGAAAAAATGGAATGGTAGCGGCTTCGCTCCTTTGTGGTAAAAAATCTCTAAACACACGCAGCCAGGCACGATTTCAAAGGCGCGAAGCACTGCAAAACTTCATTGCACTTAGGATCGCTTGTATTAAGGTTCTTTGTTTTACATGATCAGTATGATTCTCCTGTTAACAAAGAAAATCATATGTGTGTGTGTGTGTGTGTGTGTGTGTGTGTGTGTGTGTGTGTGTGTGTGTGTGTGTGTGTGTGTGTGTGTGTGTGTGTGTGTGTGTG